CGTACGGCCTTCTCGAAGCCATGCCTGACAACAGCTAACCACAGTGTCTACACTTCTTTGCACTCTAACTGCAATTGCCCGAAAAGCCAGCTTCCCAAAGTCCCACTATGCAGCCCCTATCAAACTCACTAAGTTGACGAAATCGTACAGGTCTCCGTACTCTAGGCATCGTAACCGATCGTAAAGGATGTCAAGAACCAAAATCCGCCAACGTTGATTCTTTACTGCGGCTGAAATATTCATGTTTAGAGCGTTAGTGAATTAAAAAAAAAGCAGTATAAAAACCGGAATGTCCAACTGATAAGGCTGAAAATTTTTTCACTTGTTATTTACTGGGTGTTCGGATTTATATGTCACTTAGTATAACACTTGTTATTTACAGTAAGATAAATACATTCACCAACTTTTATTAAAATAAAACCATTTAAACTGGGTGTTCGGATTTATATGTCACTTGTATATTTGTTCATATTTTATCGATAGTCCCCAACGTCTCCATGCTATATCAAATCTATTGATTAGTTCCGGCAATATGTTTTCAGCTACAATTACAGTGTCGTCACCGTATCATATATTGTCAATTAGGAAGTTTCTTATAGTCAGGAATTCTGCTAGTGTTCCACTGGCACTTAATTGTAACAGTAAAATGGAAAAAGGTTTTCTGAAACCAATTCCACTAGTCTTCCAAAGGCGAATGTAATAATGATTAATGGTTAAATATGCTATAACATTTATGCTTTGGTACGCAGTGGTGCAAAAGTACTAAAACATGGCCACACATAGAAAGATCCACTAAATTTTACAAAAAGAATCAATTTCTACGTTTTCCAGGTCGCTGATAACGGATATGATATTCATTTGTCAAATATCAAAATGGCGGATTTAATATGGTGTAAATATTTGCAAAAAAATGTTTTGATTGAGATCTTTAAGTTGTAGATATTTTCAGGATCGCTAATAACGAATTTCATAAAAATGTTCCAAAATCGAAATAGTGGAAAACATATTTTGAACGCATTCAAAATAGAGTTTCAAGTTTTTTTAAGATCGCGTTTAACAAATTGACTATCGATTCTCAAAATGGTGGATGGAATTTTATCCATTGCACGCAAATTACAGTTTTACATGTTTTCAAGGTATAATTTATGTATTATTTTATGCTGTGGCATAATTGCCAAAGTTGCAGTCAGCCAAAATTGACGTATTTCTCAACTGTGTGTGTCTGATAAACGTGCTACTATTCGCAAAAGAGCGGACTCTTATGGGCATTTTAAACTCTTTTTGAATTAATTACCGAAAAAATATCATTTTCATATTGTTGTCATACATTGTCGTTTGGTAAGTAATAATTATACACACCTTCGCCTCCGCCATTCATTTTGCCATCTCGACACAGCTGATTATTTTAAAATCTGGCACTATTCAATTACATAAACTTTTGAACTTTTGGCCAGGTTTTTTGGTTCCTGTACCACGCCTATGCATCTACACGTAGACACAGATGAGGTTAAAGGAGTATTCCCCTCCAGCCAACATCATCACTATGACAATATTCACTTTATCTCGAAATAAAAGCCATAATCAGGCACTTACACTGATATTTATTTTGATCCTTTTTAGCACATTAAGTACCTAGTAACATCAAAATGAGATTTACAGCAGTACAATGATACTTCCGAAAGGGGCAATTATTATATCATCCCTGGCCATTACCCTTCTTTCTAATCCTATGTTTTGACACAGGTAAAAATGTTTGGAGCTGATATGCCTGTATTGTATACCTAGGCACAATAAAGCAGATATTTGTAAGTCGAAGGTTTGACCCTTTTGTTGCCCATTTCTACCGAAAATCCTGAATACGGAGCAGAGCAACGTTGGTAAATGGCGATAAGCGTGCGCGGTACGTGCATCGATTTGTGATGGCGATTACTAGTGTAATCTGACGTCATCAGTCAGTAAAACGCTCTAGTAAGATAATTCTCCAAATAAGAAACGTCTGAGTAGCGTAAATTTGTATCGTCTGAGTAGCGTAAATTTGTATTTTTCAAGATATTCAAAAAAAATTTCTGTGCTGTACTTCAATTCCATTTTGAGCTTTCAAATCCTCGCTAAATATCTCTTCAGAATACAGAGAGGGTGGAAGAGAGTATAAATACATGAGCTTCGCCTAGTTCTAGATGAATGTTCCGTAACAACTTTGTACGATTACGTTTGTACCCTTTTTTAAAGTGGTAACGAATACTCGGTTGTTCCCTATGGTACCGCTACTGACAAACGCCTGTGACGATGACGTTGGCCAGTAGCAACCAGCCGCAGAACAAGTTTCTGTCGCGTATTTTGAAGCCTGAAGGTCGTAGAAAAGGCACACGGCACGGCCACGCAGATGACGGAACCACACTCTCCTTTGCTGGTCCTTTAAATGGGCTTGGTTTGCCACACGGCATACCATACTACACAGCACTGCAACTTTTTCAGAATCACGCTAAACTTTTAAGCGAATTTAGAGTCATACATTATATTGAAAATGAAGCGCCAGATGTGCGTATTTCATTCTTCGGAGTATTAATGTTGTTTTTGCTATTGAGGCACCTCCATGGGAAAACATCCACGGGAGAAAAGTCGCGTGATCGTCGTGATCATTCGATATCAGCAAAATGAGACATGAACTTTTGTGGAAGCAGCGAAGGAAGTTGGTCCACAGTCTCCTTTACATGGCGTAATGATCTTTAAAAAATAAGCAGTTTTTTCTAGTAACATGTTACAACATTTAAATTTACAGGGACGTCGTAATGCTACTGAGGCTTCGCGATTGCATGCAGATCGTTTTTAGCGATACTTCGTGATTTCTTTTTTCTGTTTGGGGCAAAATGAAATGTTTAATGTATAAATCTGGGGTGAACTCGGTTGACGAACTGCGTATGCGAATTTAGCCATATGTCGCATTCATTCGGGAAAATCAGCCCATTGCAAAAAACTACACCGATGCTGAGCTACGTCAGCACATACAAGTGACAAAGCTGTACATGATCGGTGAGAACTTTTTCGTTTATTTATTTTTTTACTTTTCCGCTGTTGTTTCACCGCACGTTATCTTTGTTATTATAAACCTAGTTGTTTCCGAAAAGGAAAAATGCAACGTTCAGGAAATCCTGTATGACGCTTCGTGCTGTCTAATTTCGATAGATCATCGATAGTTGCGTTGATGTATAGTATTGTATATGTTGTGGTTCGGATTGGCATTGACCTTGAAATCCATGCGGGTAGGACATATTGTGACCAATGACAGGCACGTCCGGTGCGCTACCCATCCACTTAATGAGACAAGTGATCGTTTAGTGAGCCAGCCAAAAATTCCAAACAGATGGGGCACTAAACATTTTCTGGAAACGATTACGTTGAATGTCAACTGATGATGCTACAGAGGAGGAACTTGTGCAAATAGCATATTACGCACCTAGGTTAAGAAGCACATTCACAATGAATGAATGAAAATGAGGCATAAAATAAGGTTATCGCTGTCGTCAATCCTGGCCTCACGATTAGTTTGTGGAGATCATTATGAAGGGAAGAGTGTTTGACTCAGTTTTTATTGTCTCGAGAACAAAAAGACTCCATTTTAGGCTAGTTATACTGAGCTATCTATCAACATGAATAGATTTCACATGAGCAGCTCTTCTTTCGGTTTCCAATTTTTATATTAATACCCGATGGTACCGTGGGGCTATAGGTGGATACCAGGAAAAGGATGTAGCAGAAAAGTCTCACCTGTTGACAAATAACAGAGGTAGCAGATTGCCTATCAATGATTATCACTTAGAATCAGGTCACTTTGCACGTTATGAATAAATATTAATGAATAGCGTTTACCAACGGTCACGGAAACCATTTACAGGACAATCCTAAGAAAAAATAAATCAAACTAACAAAAATAGAAAACATACAAACATACAAATACAATAAAAGGTTTTAACTGTACGAGATCGAATAAATGGGACATTAAAGTTTAGTTAAGCCACAATCTCATTATCATCAACTTCATTGTGCGGCAGTTTATGCAAGAAAATAATTGACGCACACTTCCTACTCAGCTCTAAAGACTGCATTTAAAACCTACAAATTAACAGATTTTCAGATAAATCTTGCTCAAGATATGCACCGTCAACTTCGAAAGATAAAAACTTGAGAAACTTTCTCTGAACATGATCAAGAGAATCAATGAAGCAGTTGTAAATTGGGTTCCAAATTAACGATGCATATTCTAGTTTTGATCTAATATATGCAGACTACAAAACCAACAGTGACTCTGAAGCTTCTACAGTTTCTCACAATAAAACCGTACTCTCGTGAAGCTTCACTCACCTTTTGAGCTATCTGGAGTGAAAAATTAAGTATATGGTCAAAAATTACACCCAAATGCTTAACTGAGTTATACCGATTTGGGTAAACATCCCCAGTCTTATAATTAAATTTACAAACTGACTACAATACACTCAGACGCATTAAGAAATAAATTATTCTCGTTTACAATCAGCCTCAGACTCAATCATCCGCAAAAGGGAGTCTATTACAACTTGAACCCCGAGGCACTCCCGATTTAGTTTCATACTGGTACGACTTGAAGCCATGTTAGCAAAATAGCGCCTCAAAATCCTTAGTATTGCTGGTGGATTCTTCCATTTACTCATTATTCCTTTCTCGTCTGCTGCTCCCTTTACTGGGAACATATCGAAGTTTCCCTCTATCATATCAAGTACCATTCCACTCTCGTATACCTATGCATTTCTCACATTGTGCTAACATCCGTAACATCGTAGCAGTGACCTGAAGCGACCAGACCGATTCATTCTTTCCTGACCTTGCTAAATGACTATAATTTCCGTCTATCAATCTCGGACGTCAAGGAAAAAATTGGACGTTCCTAGGGTGAATTGATTAACGCAACAATAACGAGAAGCTCATTGTTTTTGTTGGGACTTTTTTTCTCACACTCACATACATACCCACTGTTGTCTGCAACTTGAACATGTGTTTTACAGTCATTTAATGGTAATCAGAAGCGATGGTTTTTTAATATCTGCATGGCCGTGGTGGGTTCACATAACTCATATAATACGTATAATACGCTGTTCTCGCACAAATATGATTTCTTCTACTTTATATGAAAAAATGGCAGCAAGTAAGTTGACTCTGCACTTCCAAGACGTCGCTGACATCAGTTCATATACGATTCGTCCAGGAAGGATTATTCATTTAAAATTTGCATATTTAGCATGCTTTTCTGTACAATTTTCTGAACACTTTTTCGTTTTTGGCATTGTAGTAACCTTATGTAAAAAATTCCATCAAACCCGGTACCTTCTAGGTTATAGCGATATCAAGGGTTAGCGGACACACAGACAGAAAGACGGACAGTCAGGCAGGTAGGCAGGCAGAAAGACGAAGACAGAGAGAGAGAGAGAGAGAGAGATAGACAAAGACAGACAGAAACAGGCGGAGACAGTCCGAGACAGACAGAGACAGACAGAGACAGACAGAGACAGACAGAGACAGACAGAGACAGACAGAGACAGGCAGAGACAGACAGTCAGAGACAGACAGATAGAGACAGACAGACAGATACAGACAGACAGAGACAGACAGACAGACAGAGACAGACAGACAGAGACAGACAGACAGAAACAGACAGACAGAGACAGACAGACAGAGACAGACAGACAGACAGAGACAGAGACAGACAGACAGAGACAGACAGACAGAGACAGACAGACAGAGACAGACAGAGAGAGACAGACAGAGCGACAGACAGAGACAGACAGACAGAGACAGACAGACAGAGACAGACAGACAGAGACGACACACAGAGACAGACAGACAGAGACAGACAGACAGAGACAGACAGACAGAGACGACAGACAGACAGACAGACAGAGACAGAGACAGGACAGACAGACAGAGACAGACAGACAGAGACAGACAGACAGAGCAGACAGACAGAGACAGACAGACAGACAGAGACAGACAGACAGAGACAGACAGACAGAGACAGACAGACAGAGACAGACAGACAGAGACAGACAGACAGAGACAGACAGAGACAGACAGACAGAGACAGACAGACCAGAGACAGACAGACAGAGACAGACAGACAGAGACAGACAGACAGAGACAGACAGACGAGACAGACAGACAGAGACAGACAGACAGAGACAGACAGACAGAGACAGACAGACAGAGACAGACAGACAGAGACAGACAGACAGAGACAGACAGACAGAGACAGACAGAGACAGACAGACAGAGACAGACAGACGAGACAGACAGACAGAGACAGACAGACAGAGACAGACAGACAGAGACAGACAGACAGAGACAGACAGACAGAGACAGACAGACAGAGACAGACAGACAGAGACAGACAGACAGAGACAGACAGACAGAGACAGACAGACAGAGACAGACAGACAGAGACAGACAGACAGAGACAGACAGACAGAGACAGACAGACAGAGACAGACAGACAGAGACAGACAGACAGAGACAGACAGACAGAGACAGACAGACAGAGACAGACAGACAGAGACAGACAGACAGAGACAGACAGACAGAGACAGACAGACAGAGACAGACAGACAGAGACAGACAGACAGAGACAAAGAGACAGACAGACAGAGACAGACAGACAGAGACAGACAGACGAGACAGACAGACAGAGACAGACAGACAGAGACAGACAGACAGACAGACAGACAGAGACAGACAGCAGGACAGACAGACAGAGACAGACAGACAGAGACAGACAGACAGACAGACAGACAGAGACAGACAGAGACAGACAGAGACAGACAGAGACAGACAGAGACAGACAGACAGACAGAGACAGGACAGACGGACAGAGACAGGCAGACAGAGACAGACAGACAGAGATAGACAGACAGAGACAAGATAGACAGAGACAAGATAGACAGAGGCAAGATAGACAGAGACAAGATAGACAGAGACATACAGGGACAGACAGAGACAGACGTACAGAGAGACACACAGACAGAGACAAATAGAGACAGATACAGACAGACAGAGACAGTTATACAGATACAGACGCAGACTGACATACTGAAATAGAAATGAGTGAGATGGTTTTTAGTGATGTACAAATACGTGTCCTGCAACATCAAAAAAAATATATACTCCCTAGTACAGTGGCGTAGGAATTAAAAAACGATAATGGTCATTTTATTTGGACACAGACGTTTACCATCTCAGATATTCCCTTTATACACGAATTTAACAAACCATTCTTGATCATGGACCGCTATCAGTATTGTAGATTCCTTTTCATATCGTCAAAAAATTCATAATTAACCATTAGTATTAAGATTCCAATAAAATTTCGTTATCCATAGGCGCCTGGTCCCCCTGAGAATCTGGTTGGACCCTAAAATTTGAATATTTAGCATGATTTTGTGTAAGATTTTGAGCAAGTTTAGGATTCCCCCCTACCTTTGAAAATTTACCATTCCCCCTATTCAAAAGATTTTGGGGGCAGGTAAACTTCCACAAAAGGTTACTTCTTGCTAATGATCGCCCCCCGAGGAAAATTCCTGCGGACGCCACCCTCGAAAACTTTGAAATATTGTTAATATGTTAATCTACCGCTTTGTTAAAGCTTGCTGTGTAGTGGAGAAATAATATATGCGCTGGTCTGCGTCTATCGCGAAAGTTACTACGCTGAATTTTTTATAAGCCCTTAATGTTGCACAACATGGCGACAAAGGCATCGCGCTGTCTGTACATAATGCATTTAGGTGAACGGGAACGGCGCTCTGAAGCGGAATGCTGCAAAACTGATGCACAACAGGAAAGGGGGATAAGAATTTAAAAATAACTCCAAAAGGGGAAACGCTGATGCGGCGCGACGAGAGGTGCAGGGGTGCAGTTATGGACGTTTTCGCTTGACGCAAAGCATTACTCAACCACCGGGATAAATGTCATACCGATATTTTAACAATTGGTTTTAATTACGGTAGGTACGGAAACATATGAAAATATGTCAAGTACATTCAAATAATGAGTGTACGAATAAAGGTGCGCCTCCACAGAGCCACATCACATGCATCGGACTTGAGAGTGTGTCCACCGATCCATAGAAATAAAATTAAAAAGTTGTGACATTTCCATTCCAAATTTGTATGTTGCGTTTATTTTGCACCTGAGTGTACTTCGCAATAGAATATTAAAAATGGCGTCAAGTAGGTTGACACCGCGACAAAACTGCAGTATCAGCAGAACAGTCAACTAGACCGGTTCGCCTGGCGGTGAGCCCAGATAGCAGAAGGAGTCACGTAGCGTATATAAAACATGTCTCTATAATTCTAAGTTTTAAAAACAAATGTTCGGGAAAACCTGTGGTGTGTGGAATAGGTCTAATAGATGCGTAGAATTACCGGGGTTGGGAGAGTATAAATATACTAACTAAAAATTGAGATAAAACCTCCCCCACCCCCAATTTTTAACAACTACAAAATTTTACTGAAAATGATCAAGAGCCTCTGAAATGTCATAAAACAAAGCTTGAGAGGTTTGTTTCGTGTTTTTAGCCCTAGCTCTACCGCCACTGAACCGATTTTCAAAAACTACTCGTACATGGTAGTGACCTTGTGTGAATATTGCATCCAAATCCGAGAGCGGACAGACAGACAAGCAATCATACTGACGGAAATGGTTTTTCGTAATGCACATACCGTACAACCAAATAACATATCTCATTTCTTCGTGATTGCAATATTTCCTCGCAGTGCAGTGGCGTAGTAAATAGAACAATATTTGCACGTAACAAATGCAAACTAGAAAACAATGAAAGGTGTCAAAATATCAATCGAAACGCCGCCAGAAAACTTACGAGCAAAGTTTCAGCTGTACCTTCGGAGGATATTCTGCCTAAAGCGAAACTAAACCGAAACTCGGGTTTTGGACCGAAATAGTCGAAACGAAACTCGAAACCGAAAGTTTGGTCGGACACAAGGATATCCAACCACATATGTCTGTTTATCTCTGCATATAGTGTTTCTGACGCCATTATAACCCAAAGTTACTAACTTCAGCGAGTTTTCTATCAACGGGAATATGAGGAAATCTCTATCAACGGGAATATGAGGAAATCTAAGAGTCTCCAAAGAGGCTCCAAGGAATCTGAGCGGAGGAAAATCTCCTGTTCCAAAAGTCTATCGGGGTACAAATGAACTTCGCCCATAAACTTTATAGATTACATACAATAATATTCCATCAGGCTCTTAGGTAACAGTGGTAACTTGACGACCAAAAAAAGAACTAAAGTAATCTTTGATCTATTCTCAGGTAATGTCGAAACGCAATGAGATACAAATCCACTATGTACATTATTCACATAGTGACGCAAAAGCGTTTGCACAATGTGACAATGCACATTTTCTAAAAAATGTAGATAGTTTTGGACAATAGTATTGCTTACACTCTTCAATTATAATAATTGATGATCCATTGAAATATCCGCGAACACTTCAGGCAAATAGCAACGTAACATACATAACATTGCATTTACAGAAGAAAGTTTAGATCGATAGACGTGCCATTCTAACGCCAAGATTTATGATTGTCAACAACTTTCACGCGTCACTTTTTACAAATCTATTAGCATAATCGAAAACAGGTGCTTATAAAATCATGTTTATAATAATCAAAAACGACGAAACCGTTACGGAGATTGTCACACTTTTACTTGAATATGAAAATCATTGAGTAGGAAGTTTTCCCACATTATTTAAATGTATTGCACAAGGACAGATATTCGTTATGTTTTTATGTTATTATACAGTATGTTGCTGTCAGCTTGGTGCTACCATTAAGTAACGTATTCTACATAAAGATAGCCAATCTAATGCTACGAGGGTGGTATCAAAAATATGGTTCCCAATGACACCGTTGCGTTTGTCGGGCCAATCCAACGATTTGAATAAACAGTTTGCAATATAATTACGAACCGCTACACTGAAATGCGCTGGTGCAGC